ATACTGTTAATGTATCAATACACTTAAGTAAAAAGACAAAACTAAGCCAGTAATTAAAAGTAATGACTATTGTTTTTGATTGATTGATTGATTGATTGTTGGTTGCTTAACGTCCAGTGGCAAATATTTCATGCATATTCAGGACGAGAACAAATTAACAATAAATACAATAGGTAGGTTCTGTAATAGACGCGTCCGGGATTAATGTCTAAATTTCTTTCCAGTTCACTTGTGCTAACGTACACGGACATGAACACAATTGAGAACTATATGTCAGAGTGTATAGATTTAGTAGTTAATCTGTCCACTTTCTGTTTGGAGGCCGGTGCCTGAAGAAAAATCCATTACCATTTTCGCGGGAAATAAATAATTGCAGAACCAAATGTAGGTTTACTGGCGATGTTAATTACATGCAGACAGAGAGTTCAATACCTAACATAGTTGAAATAAAAGTACAGAAGCTACACAACAACATTAATTACTATTCGAAGTCTGCATTACTTAATTCTTGATATGAAAATGCAAGGATGTGTTCTACCCCTGCATGTGTAACAGTGGTTTGATTCCGCCAGTGTACTTTATCCGGAGGAAGAAAATCCCCAGTGATTTTTATCCACCAACAAATATTCACTAGGTTTTTCTATCCGGGTCCAGTGTAAAACATCCACCAGTCATTATAAGGTTCTAAAAATGTTTTTTTGAAGGGGAAATATATATAAAATGTGGCTTAATAGTTTTTAGTGTATTTGAAAATTGCATAGTTGATTTATGTAAAAAGTGGAGAGTTTTCATCCAAGGAATGTTCACACTAGTGTTTTTTAAACCAGGAATGATTACACTAGTGATTTTGTACCGGAATGATTGCACTAGTTATTTTATACCGGGATTAATTACACTAGTGCTTTAGATCCATACATTGATGAAGTGATTAGTACTCATTCTGAACACATGATAACACAATAATGCTTATTAACGAATATTAGATTTAATTAATTTTTCTATGCAAATTTATAAAATCATATGCTTTCAAATTGTCACTAATTGTAATATTTATATGTATTGGATTGCCGAAGTTTTTCTGTGTATTATCTTTTCGGTCGGCTTGGATATAAAATCATATCTTCTATGTCAATATCAAAGGATGCTTCTATAATTGAAACTTTATGTAAGAACAAATCTGCTCTTTAAATTTGGTTTATATCAAGTTCAATGTCTTGATCATTAATAAAGTATTTTGAGTTATAAAAATATCCTTCTCATCATCATCAATATTATTTAGATCTACTAGATTGACTCAGATTAATTAAACTGGTTCCTTGAAAATCATTGTAAACAATAAACCGGTCTAATATAAACAAAACAACGATATCAAGATCGACGCTTTCACACTATTTACATCCAATATTCTCTAGTGAAAAACAGTTACCCGGAATAAATACACGGCGGAATGAAAGTACGCTTACACATGCCTAGCTTTCTCCATTTTCTTTTCTTTTCGTCTTCTTCTTGTTTGTTTTTTTGCCATAATCTGCCTCGTCAGTAGTTACGGCCCTGCGAATTCGGCAGCATTTAATATTTTGCGACAAACAAATGGAAGTTTTTAACGACCTTGACTGGCTATACAACTGGCGACAAAACACCTCTGATCATAGATTTAACGGTTCATCGGTTCATTAGACCACACTGCCATTACAATCTCTGTTTTAATTGGTTACTATGTTTTGGCGGTTTTTTCTATTGTTCTAATTTTTCAACTCATACCATGATGGAATTCATTTGGAAGGTCAGTTTTATTCTTTCTTTATTAATAAAATGGTCTAGTAATAATTCATAAGTGTTACTTATACACAGAATCAACGTTTATTTTAGCAGAGACATGTAGACATATATATATATATGTCTCATATTTTAGTAACTATCGAAAAGGAGAGTTAATCCATTATAAAATGACAATCAGAAGAAAAGAAGATTTTACGGTCATATTTCATAACTCAGTAATCTTATTTAGATTTGTTATACTATGATATTTTGTCTGGTTTATATATGACTTGTGTTTACCAATTGATTGACTGAACGTTTCGGATCGAGTAGACCGATTAGACCTATAACATGAGACTTCGTAGGTTCTAACTTCATATCGTTTGCATTCAGCGTTTTTTCATCGGTTATTTTTGTTTACTATCAATGTTCGTGGTTCAGCATGGATAGTAAAAAAATATCCGATAAAAAACGTTGAATGCGAACGATATGAACCTACGAAGTCTTATATTATAATATAGGACTAGTAGACCGGTATGAATGCTATTTTGTGTAAATCGATTGGAAATAACACGGCATAGAAATAAATAGAAATAAGAATAGTTCTATAAATGATCAAATGGGTTAAATTTGAATTTTTATCATAAACAGATATTTTTTTTTGTAAAGTGATGAATTGAGCCCTTTTCAACTGATTTTTATAGCTTGTTCCTATGTTGTACTGTACAACACTATCCCAGGTTAGAGGGAGGGTTGGCACCTTCAAACTAGCTTAACCCTGCCATATTCTGTTTGTGTCTGTCCTACGTCAGGAGCCTATAATTCAGTAGCAGTTGGTTTTTGCTGTATATCATTTTGTTTTTTCTTTCATGGTTTTGTACTTAAAATCGGGCTGTTTTCTCATTTGAATTGTTTTGCATTGCATTTGTCATTTTGGGGCCTTTCATATCTGACTATCTGGGAACAAACCCTCTATATGGTGTTTATACCTGTACAGAGGAATAACCCTTCTAAAGAAGGATAATTATCCCTCTATAGAGGAATATAATTGTTTGTATAAAAAAGAAGATGTGGTATGATTGCCAATGAGACAATTCGCCACAAGAGTCCAAATGACACAGAAATTAACAACTATAGGTCACTGTTAGGCCTTCAACAATGAGCATAGCCCATACTGCATAGTCAGCTATAAAAGGCCCTGAAATTGACAAATGTAAAACAATTCAAACAAGAAACTAATGACCTTATTTATATATACAAAATAATGAACGAAAAAAACAAATATGTAACACAGCAACAAACGATAACCACTGAATTACAGGCTCCAGTCTTGAGACAGGCACATACAGAATGTGGCGGGGGTAAACTAGTTTGAAGGAGCCAACCCTCTCCTAACTTGGAACAGTGGTGTAACAGTACAACATAAGAACAAACAATAAAAATCAGTTGAAAAAGGCTTAACTCATCAGATGGATACAAATGGAAAAACATCTAACAAAAACACAGAGTTGACGTGGACGGGTACTTATACATCCCAACAACAAAAAGACATTAAGTACAGATCTGAGAGTACTTGCAGTTACTGACAGCTAGTTCAAAGCCAATAACAACTAATAAAAAAAACAATGCATCTAAGACTAAATTATCAATCAGTTCACATCCAACATCTAATGGATTTAGTGTAAAGACGCCATAAACAGTCAGAGGAAAACATGACCTTGTGCAATGCCAAGATACAGGATTATTATTATTATTATTAGATGGATTAAAAGCAAAACATGGCAAATGTGCATTTTCTACTTATTGTGGCAGTAACCTGCAACATTTGATGATCAGGTAAATTCCACTCAGTTATGCCTCAATGAACAGATTTTTACATATATGTAAGAGAATGATAATCCCTTTCTTCATGATTAAGTACAAGTGTTATTGAGTACTTATCATGAAGTAAGGGATAATCATTCTCTTGTCAGCGTAAATTAAATGTTTATAATTGATGCATAACTTCATTTTCAGCATTTCATTTATGGGTTAGTTTTAGTGATGTAAGGACTGTCTTATAATTTGGGAGATATTTTTAAAATGCATTATAGACATTAGGTGACACAACAGTAAAAAGAAAAGGTATGAATTGTATATGTTTCGAATGTAAATCATGAAATATTTTAGTGAGGAATTATCCTTTTTTTATTTACAGTTTAAATCAATAAATACATTTGAGTTACAACTAATTTTAATTTCACAGCCAATATTTTGGTCCAGCTTTATAAATCAAAAAACTATTTCATTATGTCAGGGAAATGATCTAATAAAATGCATTTAAAAGTTTAAATATATTCAAAACCTAAATCAATTTCCTGTTTTTTTTCTTTTATCAGAATATTGGAAATAACTATTCTTCCCAACCTCCGGTTCAGAAAGATAAAAATTTTGGTTATTTTTTATTTTAAAACGTTTTTCTTCTTTTTTTTGCATTGCTTTGATATTGTTTTTATTAATTTGAAGTTTATTAATATTTTCATAATGACATTAAACATACAAATTTTACAAGATGATGATGTAGGTATTTTGTCGTTACAATTGTACTTAAACTGTTAATAGTTGTAAGGTAATAACATCAGTTTTCCCTGGAGAAACAGCTTGAAAATTTATTACAAATTAGTCCAAAATTTCTTTTCAAATTTATACTCTAATGAAAAAAGTATACTTGTACTCCAATTTAGGATTTGAATTAAAACATGCATCACATTAATTTCTGAATTAATTATAACAGCAAACAGTCTCTCGACATTGACAATTTGAAAACCCTTTCTCTTATAGTCTCACCTGTACGAAAGTAAAGTTTCCGATTGTCAATTTGGATATCTACATATTTAGTCGATTTTTTTTAAAGTAATTTGGAAATTATGACTTGATGTAGATTGTTTGAAATTCAGTTGAATTTTAATCATTTCTGTTCAAAATGTATACATCAGATTGTTTTGGTTAGCCACCAACTTCTGATAATTTGACATGCACATTAATTTCGGAAATAATGATTATATCATACAACCGTCTTCATTACTGATTGAAATATAGATTTAAAATGAAAATAAGTTAATGATATACAGTCAAAAAGAGCAATTGACCAATGATGATGGCTGTCATTAATGCCAGTTTTTCTCCATAGATATTTTGAAAGAAAAAAAAATTAAAGTAGCAAATTTTTTAAGTTTTATATTTGGTTCAATATTTTGAACTTATTTTGTTTTTGTTTCAGATACCAGCCCCAGGATATTTACGTCAGGACAGGTAACATATGCATCGGAAAGTAAGTATATTTTTTTTTATTTATTAATAGTTGTCTGATAGATATTAAAATAATTTGAATATGTATTACAGATAGACGGGAGCCAACAGAGAAGAAGAAGACAGTACAGTCCTAGACATGGAGATGATTAAATTGTAGATGCCAAGATGATGATGTAGGTATTTTGTTGTTACAATTGTACTTAAACTGTTAATAGTTGTAAGGTAATAAAATCAGTTTTCCCTGGAAAAACAGCTTGAAAATTTATTACAAATTAGTCTAAAATTTCTTTTCAAATTTATACTCTAATGAAAAAAGTATACTTGTACTCCAATTTAGGATTTGAATTAAAACATGCATCACATTAATTTCTGAATCAATTAAAACAGCAAATAGTCTCTTAACATTGACAATTTGGAAACCCTTTCTCTAATAGTCTTACCTGTACGAAAGTAAAGTTTCCGATTGTCAATTTGGATATCTACATATTTAGTCGATTTTTTTTAAAGTAATTTGGAAAATATGACTTGATTTAGATTGTTTGAAATTCAGTTGAATTTTAATCATTTCTGTTCAAAATGTATACATCAGATTGTTTTGGTTAGCCACCAACTTCTGATAATTTGACACGCACATTAATTTCGGAAATAATGATTATATCTTTAAACCGTCTTCATTACTGATTGAAATATAGATTTAAAATGAAAATAAGTTAATGATATACAGTCAAAAAGAGCAATTGACCAATGATGATGGCTGCCATTAATGCCAGTTTTTCTTTATAGATATTTTGAAAGAAAAACAAATTAAAGTAGCAAATTTTTTAAGTTTTATATTTGGTTCAATATTTTTGAACTTATTTTGTTTTTGTTTCAGATACCAGCCCCAGGATATTTACGTCAGGACAGGTAACATATGCATCGGAAAGTAAGTATATTTTTTTTTATTTATTAATAGTTGTCTAATAGATATTAAAATAATTTGAATATGTATTACAGATAGACGGGAGCCAACAGAGAAGAAGAAGACAGTACAGTCCTAGACATGGAGATGATTAAATTGTAGATGCCAAGATGATGATGTAGGTATTTTGTTGTTACAATTGTACTTAAACTGTTAATAGTTGTAAGGTAATAAAATCAGTTTTCCCTGGAGAAACAGCTTGAAAATTTATTACAAATTAGTCCAAAATTTCTTTTCAAATTTATACTCTAATGAAAAAAGTATACTTGTACTCCAATTTAGGATTTGAATTAAAACATGCATCACATTAATTTCTGAATTAATTATAACAGCAAACAGTCTCTCGACATTGACAATTTGAAAACCCTTTCTCTAATAGTCTCACCTGTACGAAAGTAAAGTTTCCGATTGTCAATTTGGATATCTACATATTTAGTCGATTTTTTTTAAAGTAATTTGGAAATTATGACTTGATGTAGATTGTTTGAAATTCAGTTGAATTTTAATCATTTCTGTTCAAAATGTATACATCAGATTGTTTTGGTTAGCCACCAACTTCTGATAATTTGACATGCACATTAATTTCGGAAATAATGATTATATCATACAACCGTCTTCATTACTGATTGAAATATAGATTTAAAATGAAAATAAGTTAATGATATACAGTCAAAAAGAGCAATTGACCAATGATGATGGCTGTCATTAATGCCAGTTTTTCTCCATAGATATTTTGAAAGAAAAAAAAATTAAAGTAGCAAATTTTTTAAGTTTTATATTTGGTTCAATATTTTTGAACTTATTTTGTTTTTGTTTCAGATACCAGCCCCAGGATATTTACGTCAGGACAGGTAACATATGCATCGGAAAGTAAGTATATTTTTTTTTATTTATTAATAGTTGTCTGATAGATATTAAAATAATTTGAATATGTATTACAGATAGACGGGAGCCAACAGAGAAGAAGAAGACAGTACAGTCCTAGACATGGAGATGATTAAATTGTAGATGCCAAGATGATGATGTAGGTATTTTGTTGTTACAATTGTACTTAAACTGTTAATAGTTGTAAGGTAATAAAATCAGTTTTCCCTGGAGAAACAGCTTGAAAATTTATTACAAATTAGTCCAAAATTTCTTTTCAAATTTATACTCTAATGAAAAAAGTATACTTGTACTCCAATTTAGGATTTGAATTAAAACATGCATCACATTAATTTCTGAATTAATTATAACAGCAAATAGTCTCTTAACATTGACAATTTGGAAACCCTTTCTCTAATAGTCTCACCTGTACGAAAGTAAAGTTTCCGATTGTCAATTTGGATATCTACATATTTAGTCGATTTTTTTTTAAAGTAATTTGGAAAATATGACTTGATTTAGATTGTTTGAAATTCAGTTGAATTTTAATCATTTCTGTTCAAAATGTATACATCAGATTGTTTTGGTTAGCCACCAACTTCTGATAATTTGACACGCACATTAATTTCGGAAATACTGATTATATCACTAAACCGTCTTCATTACTGATTGAAATATAGATTTAAAATGAAAATAAGTTAATGATATACAGTCAAAAAGAGCAATTGACCAATGATGATGGCTGCCATTAATGCCAGTTTTTCTTTATAGATATTTTGAAAGAAAAACAAATTAAAGTAGCAAATTTTTTAAGTTTTATATTTGGTTCAATATTTTTGAACTTATTTTGTTTTTGTTTCAGATACCAGCCCCAGGATATATACGTCAGGACAGGTAACATATGCATCGGAAAGTAAGTATATTTTTTTTTATTTATTAATAGTTGTCTAATAGATAATAAAATAATTTGAATATGTATTACAGATAGACGGGAGCCAACAGAGAAGAAGAAGACAGTACAGTCCTATACATGGAGATGATTAAATTGTAGATGCCAAGATGATGATGTAGGTATTTTGTTGTTACAATTGTACTTAAACTGTTAATAGTTGTAAGGTAATAAAATCAGTTTTCCCTGGAGAAACAGCTTGAAAATTTATTACAAATTAGTCCAAAATTTCTTTTCAAATTTATACTCTAATGAAAAAAGTATACTTGTACTCCAATTTAGGATTTGAATTAAAACATGCATCACATTAATTTCTGAATTAATTACAGCAAATAGTCTCTTAACATTGACAATTTGGAAACCCTTTCTCTAATAGTCTCACCTGTACGAAAGTAAAGTTTCGGATTGTCAATTTGGATATCTACATATTTAGTCGATTTTTTTTTAAAGTAATTTGGAAAATATGACTTGATTTAGATTGTTTGAAATTCAGTTGAATTTTAATCATTTCTGTTCAAAATGTATACATCAGATTGTTTTGGTTAGCCACCAACTTCTGATAATTTGACACGCACATTAATTTCGGAAATAATGATTATATCATTAAACCGTCTTCATTACTGATTGAAATATAGATTTAAAATGAAAATAAGTTAATGATATACAGTCAAAAAGAGCAATTGACCAATGATGATGGCTGCCATTAATGCCAGTTTTTCTTTATAGATATTTTGAAAGAAAAACAAATTAAAGTAGCAAATTTTTTAAGTTTTATATTTGGTTCAATATTTTTGAACTTATTTTGTTTTTGTTTCAGATACCAGCCCCAGGATATTTACGTCAGGACAGGTAACATATGCATCGGAAAGTAAGTATATTTTTTTTTATTTATTAATAGTTGTCTAATAGATATTAAAATAATTTGAATATGTATTACAGATAGACGGGAGCCAACAGAGAAGAAGAAGACAGTACAGTCCTATACATGGAGATGATTAAATGGTAGATGCCAAGATGATGATGTAGGTATTTTGTTGTTACAATTGTACTTAAACTGTTAATAGTTGTAAGGTAATAAAATCAGTTTTCCCTGGAGAAACAGCTTGAAAATTTATTACAAATTAGTCCAAAATTTCTTTTCAAATTTATACTCTAATGAAAAAAGTATACTTGTACTCCAATTTAGGATTTGAATTAAAACATGCATCACATTAATTTCTGAATTAATTATAACAGCAAATAGTCTCTTAACATTGACAATTTGGAAACCCTTTCTCTAATAGTCTCACCTGTACGAAAGTAAAGTTTCCGATTGTCAATTTGGATATCTACATATTTAGTCGATTTTTTTTTAAAGTAATTTGGAAAATATGACTTGATTTAGATTGTTTGAAATTCAGTTGAATTTTAATCATTTCTGTTCAAAATGTATACATCAGATTGTTTTGGTTAGCCACCAACTTCTGATAATTTGACACGCACATTAATTTCGGAAATACTGATTATATCACTAAACCGTCTTCATTACTGATTGAAATATAGATTTAAAATGAAAATAAGTTAATGATATACAGTCAAAAAGAGCAATTGACCAATGATGATGGCTGCCATTAATGCCAGTTTTTCTTTATAGATATTTTGAAAGAAAAACAAATTAAAGTAGCAAATTTTTTAAGTTTTATATTTGGTTCAATATTTTTGAACTTATTTTGTTTTTGTTTCAGATACCAGCCCCAGGATATATACGTCAGGACAGGTAACATATGCATCGGAAAGTAAGTATATTTTTTTTTATTTATTAATAGTTGTCTAATAGATAATAAAATAATTTGAATATGTATTACAGATAGACGGGAGCCAACAGAGAAGAAGAAGACAGTACAGTCCTATACATGGAGATGATTAAATTGTAGATGCCAAGATGATGATGTAGGTATTTTGTTGTTACAATTGTACTTAAACTGTTAATAGTTGTAAGGTAATAAAATCAGTTTTCCCTGGAGAAACAGCTTGAAAATTTATTACAAATTAGTCCAAAATTTCTTTTCAAATTTATACTCTAATGAAAAAAGTATACTTGTACTCCAATTTAGGATTTGAATTAAAACATGCATCACATTAATTTCTGAATTAATTACAGCAAATAGTCTCTTAACATTGACAATTTGGAAACCCTTTCTCTAATAGTCTCACCTGTACGAAAGTAAAGTTTCGGATTGTCAATTTGGATATCTACATATTTAGTCGATTTTTTTTTAAAGTAATTTGGAAAATATGACTTGATTTAGATTGTTTGAAATTCAGTTGAATTTTAATCATTTCTGTTCAAAATGTATACATCAGATTGTTTTGGTTAGCCACCAACTTCTGATAATTTGACACGCACATTAATTTCGGAAATAATGATTATATCATTAAACCGTCTTCATTACTGATTGAAATATAGATTTAAAATGAAAATAAGTTAATGATATACAGTCAAAAAGAGCAATTGACCAATGATGATGGCTGCCATTAATGCCAGTTTTTCTTTATAGATATTTTGAAAGAAAAACAAATTAAAGTAGCAAATTTTTTAAGTTTTATATTTGGTTCAATATTTTTGAACTTATTTTGTTTTTGTTTCAGATACCAGCCCCAGGATATTTACGTCAGGACAGGTAACATATGCATCGGAAAGTAAGTATATTTTTTTTTATTTATTAATAGTTGTCTAATAGATATTAAAATAATTTGAATATGTATTACAGATAGACGGGAGCCAACAGAGAAGAAGAAGACAGTACAGTCCTATACATGGAGATGATTAAATGGTAGATGCCAAGATGATGATGTAGGTATTTTGTTGTTACAATTGTACTTAAACTGTTAATAGTTGTAAGGTAATAAAATCAGTTTTCCCTGGAGAAACAGCTTGAAAATTTATTACAAATTAGTCCAAAATTTCTTTTCAAATTTATACTCTAATGAAAAAAGTATACTTGTACTCCAATTTAGGATTTGAATTAAAACATGCATCACATTAATTTCTGAATTAATTATAACAGCAAATAGTCTCTTAACATTGACAATTTGGAAACCCTTTCTCTAATAGTCTCACCTGTATGAAAGTAAAGTTTCGGATTGTCAATTTAGATATCTACATATTTAGTCGATTTTTTTTTTAAAGTAATTTGGAAAATATGACTTGATTTAGATTGTTTGAAATTCAGTTGAATTTTAATCATTTCTGTTCAAAATGTATACATCAGATTGTTTTGGTTAGCCACCAACTTCTGATAATTTGACACGCACATTAATTTCGGAAATAATGATTATATCATTAAACCGTCTTCATTACTGATTGAAATATAGATTTAAAATGAAAATAAGTTAATGATATACAGTCAAAAAGAGCAATTGACCAATGATGATGGCTGCCATTAATGCCAGTTTTTCTTTATAGATATTTTGAAAGAAAAACAAATTAAAGTAGCAAATTTTTTAAGTTTTATATTTGGTTCAATATTTTTGAACTTATTTTGTTTTTGTTTCAGATACCAGCCCCAGGATATTTACGTCAGGACAGGTAACATATGCATCGGAAAGTAAGTATATTTTTTTTTATTTATTAATAGTTGTCTAATAGATATTAAAATAATTTGAATATGTATTACAGATAGACGGGAGCCAACAGAGAAGAAGAAGACAGTACAGTCCTATACATGGAGATGATTAAATTGTAGATGCCAAGATGATGATGTAGGTATTTTGTTGTTACAATTGTACTTAAACTGTTAATAGTTGTAAGGTAATAAAATCAGTTTTCCCTGGAGAAACAGCTTGAAAATTTATTACAAATTAGTCCAAAATTTCTTTTCAAATTTATACTCTAATGAAAAAAGTATACTTGTACTCCAATTTAGGATTTGAATCAAAACATGCATCACATTAATTTCTGAATTAATTATAACAGCAAATAGTCTCTTAACATTGACAATTTGGAAACCCTTTCTCTAATAGTCTCACCTGTACGAAAGTAAAGTTTCGGATTGTCAATTTGGATATCTACATATTTAGTCGATTTTTTTTTAAAGTAATTTGGAAAATATGACTTGATTTAGATTGTTTGAAATTCAGTTGAATTTTAATCATTTCTGTTCAAAATGTATACATCAGATTGTTTTGGTTAGCCACCAACTTCTGATAATTTGACACGCACATTAATTTCGGAAATAATGATTATATCATTAAACCGTCTTCATTACTGATTGAAATATAGATTTAAAATGAAAATAAGTTAATGATATACAGTCAAAAAGAGCAATTGACCAATGATGATGGCTGCCATTAATGCCAGTTTTTCTTTATAGATATTTTGAAAGAAAAAAAAATTAAAGTAGCAAATTTTTTAAGTTTTATATTTGGTTCAATATTTTTGAACTTATTTTGTCTTTGTTTCAGATACCAGCCTCAGGATATTTACGTCAGGACAGGTAACATATGCATCGGAAAGTAAGTATATTTTTTTTTATTTATTAATAGTTGTCTAATAGATATTAAAATAATTTGAATATGTATTACAGATAGACGGGAGCCAACAGAGAAGAAGAAGACAGTACAGTCCTAGACATGGAGATGATTAAATTGTAGATGCCAAGATGATGATGTAGGTATTTTGTTGTTACAATTGTACTTAAACTGTTAATAGTTGTAAGGTAATAAAATCAGTTTTCCCTGGAGAAACAGCTTGAAAATTTATTACAAATTAGTCCAAAATTTCTTTTCAAATTTATACTCTAATGAAAAAAGTATACTTGTACTCCAATTTAGGATTTGAATTAAAACATGCATCACATTAATTTCTGAATTAATTAAAACAGCAAATAGTCTCTTAACATTGACAATTTGGAAACCCTTTCTCTAATAGTCTCACCTGTACGAAAGTAAAGTTTCGGATTGTCAATTTGGATATCTACATATTTAGTCGATTTTTTTTTAAAGTAATTTGGAAAATATGACTTGATTTAGATTGTTTGAAATTCAGTTGAATTTTAATCATCTCTGTTCAAAATGTATACATCAGATTGTTTTGGTTAGCCACCAACTTCTGATAATTTGACACGCACATTAATTTCGGAAATAATGATTATATCATTAAACCGTCTTCATTACTGATTGAAATATAGATTTAAAATGAAAATAAGTTAATGATATACAGTCAAAAAGAGCAATTGACCAATGATGATGGCTGCCATTAATGCCAGTTTTTCTTAATAGATATTTTGAAAGAAAAACAAATTAAAGTAGCAAATTTTTTAAGTTTTATATTTGGTTCAATATTTTTGAACTTATTTTGTTTTTGTTTCAGATACCAGCCCCAGGATATTTACGTCAGGACAGGTAACATATGCATCGGAAAGTAAGTATATTTTTTTTTATTTATTAATAGTTGTCTAATAGATATTAAAATAATTTGAATATGTATTACAGATAGACGGGAGCCAACAGAGAAGAAGAAGACAGTACAGTCCTATACATGGAGATGATTAAATTGTAGATGCCAAGATGATGATGTAGGTATTTTGTTGTTACAATTGTACTTAAACTGTTAATAGTTGTAAGGTAATAAAATCAGTTTTCCCTGGAGAAACAGCTTGAAAATTTATTACAAATTAGTCCAAAATTTCTTTTCAAATTTATACTCTAATGAAAAAAGTATACTTGTACTCCAATTTAGGATTTGAATTAAAACATGCATCACATTAATTTCTGAATTAATTATAACAGCAAATAGTCTCTTAACATTGACAATTTGGAAACCCTTTCTCTAATAGTCTCACCTGTACGAAAGTAAAGTTTCCGATTGTCAATTTGGATATCTACATATTTAGTCGATTTTTTTTTAAAGTAATTTGGAAAATATGACTTGATTTAGATTGTTTGAAATTCAGTTGAATTTTAATCATTTCTGTTCAAAATGTATACATCAGATTGTTTTGGTTAGCCACCAACTTCTGATAATTTGACACGCACATTAATTTCGGAAATAATGATTATATCATTAAACCGTCTTCATTACTGATTGAAATATAGATTTAAAATGAAAATAAGTTAATGATATACAGTCAAAAAGAGCAATTGACCAATGATGATGGCTGCCATTAATGCCAGTTTTTCTTTATAGATATTTTGAAGGAAAAAAAAATTAAAGTAGCAAATTTTTTAAGTTTTATATTTGGTTCAATATTTTTGAACTTATTTTGTCTTTGTTTCAGATACCAGCCTCAGGATATTTACGTCAGGACAGGTAACATATGCATCGGAAAGTAAGTATATTTTTTTTTATTTATTAATAGTTGTCTAATAGATATTAAAATAATTTGAATATGTATTACAGATAGACGGGAGCCAACAGAGAAGAAGAAGACAGTACAGTCCTAGACATGGAGATGATTAAATTGTAGATGCCAAGATGATGATGTAGGTATTTTGTTGTTACAATTGTACTTAAACTGTTAATAGTTGTAAGGTAATAAAATCAGTTTTCCCTGGAGAAACAGCTTGAAAATTTATTACAAATTAGTCCAAAATTTCTTTTCAAATTTATACTCTAATGAAAAAAGTATACTTGTACTCCAATTTAGGATTTGAATTAAAACATGCATCACATTAATTTCTGAATTAATTAAAACAGCAAATAGTCTCTTAACATTGACAATTTGGAAACCCTTTCTCTAATAGTCTCACCTGTACGAAAGTAAAGTTTTGGATTGTCAATTTGGATATCTACATATTTAGTCGATTTTTTTTTAAAGTAATTTGGAAAATATGACTTGATTTAGATTGTTTGAAATTCAGTTGAATTTTAATCATTTCTGTTCAAAATGTATACATCAGATTGTTTTGGTTAGCCACCAACTTCTGATAATTTGACACGCACATTAATTTCGGAAATAATGATTATATCATTAAACCGTCTTCATTACTGATTGAAATATAGATTTAAAATGAAAATAAGTTAATGATATACAGTCAAAAAGAGCAATTGACCAATGATGATGGCTGCCATTAATGCCAGTTTTTCTTTATAGATATTTTGAAAGAAAAACAAATTAAAGTAGCAAATTTTTTAAGTTTTATATTTGGTTCAATATTTTTGAACTTATTTTGTTTTTGTTTCAGATACCAGCCCCAGGATATTTACGTCAGGACAGGTAACATATGCATCGGAAAGTAAGTATATTTTTTTTTATTTATTAATAGTTGTCTAATAGATATTAAAATAATTTGAATATGTATTACAGATAGACAGGAGCCAACAGAGAAGAAGAAGACAGTACAGTCCTATACATGGAGATGATTAAATTGTAGATGCTAAGATGATGATGTAGGTATTTTGTTGTTACAATTGTACTTAAACTGTTAATAGTTGTAAGGTAATAAAATCAGTTTTCCCTGGAGAAACAGCTTGAAAATTTATTACAAATTAGTCCAAAATTTCTTTTCAAATTTATACTCTAATGAAAAAAGTATACTTGTACTCCAATTTAGGATTTGAATTAAAACATGCATCACATTAATTTCTGAATTAATTAAAACAGCAAATAGTCTCTTAACATTGACAATTTATAAACCCTTTCTCTAATAGTCTCACCTGTACGAAAGTAAAGTTTCCGATTGTCAATTTGGATATCTACATATTTAGTCGATTTTTTTTTAAAGTAATTTGGAAAATATGACTTGATTTAGATTGTTTGAAATTCAGTTGAATTTTAATCATTTCTGTTCAAAATGTATACATCAGATTGTTTTGGTTAGCCACCAACTTCTGATAATTTGACACGCACATTAATTTCGGAAATAATGATTATATCATTAAACCGTCTTCATTACTGATTGAAATATAGATTTAAAATGAAAATAAGTTAATGATATACAGTCAAAAAGAGCAATTGACCAATGATGATGGCTGCCATTAATGCCAGTTTTTCTTTATAGATATTTTGAAAGAAAAACAAATTAAAGTAGCAAATTTTTTAAGTTTTATATTTGGTTCAATATTTTTGAACTTATTTTGTTTTTGTTTCAGATACCAGCCCCAGGATATTTACGTCAGGACAGGTAACATATGCATCAGAAAGTAAGTATATTTTTTTTTATTTATTAATAGTTGTCTAATAGATATTAAAATAATTTGAATATGTATTACAGATAGACGGGAGCCAACAGAGAAGAAGAAGACAGTACAGTCCTATACATGGAGATGATTAAATTGTAGATGCCAAGATGATGATGTAGGTACTTTGTTGTTACAATTGTACTTAAACTGTTAATAGTTGTAAGGTAATAAAATCAGTTTTCCCTGGAGAAACAGCTTGAAAATTTATTACAAATTAGTCCAAAATTTCTTTTCAAATTTATACTCTAATGAAAAAAGTATACTTGTACTCCAATTTAGGATTTGAATTAAAACATGCATCACATTAATTTCTGAATTAATTATAACAGCAAATAGTCTCTTAACATTGACAATTTGGAAACCCTTTCTCTAATAGTCTCACCTGTACGAAAGTAAAGTTTCCGATTGTCAATTTGGATATCTACATATTTAGTCGATTTTTTTTTAAAGTAATTTGGAAAATATGACTTGATTTAGATTGTTTGAAATTCAGTTGAATTTTAATCATTTCTGTTCAAAATGTATACATCAGATTGTTTTGGTTAGCCACCAACTTCTGATAATTTGACACGCACATTAATTTCGGAAATAATGATTATATCATTAAACCGTCTTCATTACTGATTGAAATATAGATTTAAAATGAAAATAAGTTAATGATATACAGTCAAAAAGAGCAATTGACCAATGATGATGGCTGCCATTAATGCCAGTTTTTCTTTATAGATATTTTGAAAGAAAAAAAAATTAAAGTAGCAAATTTTTTAAGTTTTATATTTGGTTCAATATTTTTGAACTTATTTTGTCTTTGTTTCAGATACCAGCCCAGGATATTTACGTCAGGACAGGTAACATATGCATCGGAAAGTAAGTATATTTTTTTTTATTTATTAATAGTTGTCTAATAGATATTAAAATAATTTGAATATGTATTACAGATAGACGGGAGCCAACAGAGAAGAAGAAGACAGTACAGTCCTATACATGGAGATGATTAAATTGTAGATGCCAAGATGATGAAGTAGGTATTTTGTTGTTACAATTGTACTTAAACTGTTAATAGTTGTAAGGTAATAAAATCAGTTTTCCCTGGAGAAACAGCTTGAAAATTTATTACAAATTAGTCCAAAATTTCTTTTCAAATTTATACTCTAATGAAAAAAGTATACTTGTACTCCAATTTAGGATTTGAATTAAAACATGCATCACATTAATTTCTGAATTAATTATAACAGCAAATAGTCTCTTAACATTGACAATTTGGAAACCCTTTCTCTAATAGTCTCACCTGTACGAAAGTAAAGTTTCCGATTGTCAATTTGGATATCTACATATTTAGTCGATTTTTTTTTAAAGTAATTTGGAAAATATGACTTGATTTAGATTGTTTGAAATTCAGTTGAATTTTAATCATTTCTGTTCAAAATGTATACATCAGATTGTTTTGGTTAGCCACCAACTTCTGATAATTTGACACGCACATAAATTTCGGAAATAATGATTATATCATTAAACCGTCTTCATTACTGATTGAAATATAGATTTAAAATGAAAATAAGTTAATGATATACAGTCAAAAAGAGCAATTGACCAATGATGATGGCTGCCATTAATGCCAGTTTTTCTTTATAGATATTTTGAAAGAAAAACAAATTAAAGTAGCAAATTTTTTAAGTTTTATATTTGGTTCAATATTTTTGAACTTATTTTGTCTTTGTTTCAGATACCAGCCTCAGGATATTTACGTCAGGACAGGTAACATATGCATCGGAAAGTAAGTATATTTTTTTTTTATTTATTAATAGTTGTCTAATAGATATTAAAATAATTTGAATATGTATTACAGATAGACGGGAGCCAACAGAGAAGAAGAAGACAGTACAGTCCTAGACATGGAGATGATTAAATTGTAGATGCCAAGATGATGATGTAGGTATTTTGTTGTTACAATTGTACTTAAACTGTTAATAGTTGTAAGGTAATAAAATCAGTTTTCCCTGGAGAAACAGCTTTAAAATTTATTACAAATTAGTCCAAAATTTCTTTTCAAATTTATACTCTAATGAAAAAAGTATACTTGTACTCCAATTTAGGATTTGAATTAAAACATGCATCACATTAATTTCTGAATTAATTAAAACAGCAAATAGTCTCTTAACATTGACAATTTGGAAACCCTTTCTCTAATAGTCTCACCTGTACGAAAGTAAAGTTTCCGATTGTCAATTTGGATATCTACATATTTAGTCGATTTTTTTTTAAAGTAATTTGGAAAATATGACTTGATTTAGATTGTTTGAAATTCAGTTGAATTTTAATCATTTCTGTTCAAAATGTATACATCAGATTGTTTTGGTTAGCCACCAACTTCTGATAATTTGACACGCACATTAATTTCGGAAATAATGATTATATCATTAAACCGTCTTCATTACTGATTGAAATATAGATTTAAAATGAAAATAAGTTAATGATATACAGTCAAAAAGAGCAATTGACCAATGATGATGGCTGCCATTAATGCCAGTTTTTCTTTATAGATATTTTGAAGGAAAAAAAAAATTAAAGTAGCAAATTTTTTAAGTTTTATATTTGGTTCAATATTTTTGAACTTATTTTGTCTTTGTTTCAGATACCAGCCTCAGGATATTTACGTCAGGACAGGTAACATATGCATCGGAAAGTAAGTATATTTTTTTTTATTTATTAATAGTTGTCTAATAGATATTAAAATAATTTGAATATGTATTACAGATAGACGGGAGCCAACAGAGAAGAAGAAGACAGTACAGTCCTAGACATGGAGATGATTAAATTGTAGATGCCAAGATGATGATGTAGGTATTTTGTTGTTACAATTGTACTTAAACTGTTAATAGTTGTAAGGTAATAAAATCAGTTTTCCCTGGAGAAACAGCTTGAAAATTTATTACAAATTAGTCCAAAATTTCTTTTCAAATTTATACTCTAATGAAAAAAGTATACTTGTACTCCAATTTAGGATTTGAATTAAAACATGCATCACATTAATTTCTGAATTAATTAAAACAGCAAATAGTCTCTTAACATTGACAATTTGGAAACCCTTTCTCTAATAGTCTCACCTGTACGAAAGTAAAGTTTCCGATTGTCAATTTGGATATCTACATATTTAGTCGATTTTTTTTTAAAGTAATTTGGAAAATATGACTTGATTTAGATTGTTTGAAATTCAGTTGAATTTTAATCATTTCTGTTCAAAATGTATACATCAGATTGTTTTGGTTAGCCACCAACTTCTGATAATTTGACACGCACATAAATTTCGGAAATAATGATTATATCATTAAACCGTCTTCATTACTGATTGAAATATAGATTTAAAATGAAAATAAGTTAATGATATACAGTCAAAAAGAGCAATTGACCAATGATGATGGCTGCCATTAATGCCAGTTTTTCTTTATAGATATTTTGAAAGAAAAACAAATTAAAGTAGCAAATTTTTTAAGTTTTATATTTGGTTCAATATTTTTGAACTTATTTTGTCTTTGTTTCAGATACCAGCCTCAGGATATTTACGTCAGGACAGGTAACATATGCATCGGAAAGTAAGTATATTTTTTTTTTATTTATTAATAGTTGTCTAATAGATATTAAAATAATTTGAATATGTATTACAGATAGACGGGAGCCAACAGAGAAGAAGAAGACAGTACAGTCCTAGACATGGAGATGATTAAATTGTAGATGCCAAGATGATGATGTAGGTATTTTGTTGTTACAATTGTACTTAAACTGTTAATAGTTGTAAGGTAATAAAATCAGTTTTCCCTGGAGAAACAGCTTTAAAATTTATTACAAATTAGTCCAAAATTTCTTTTCAAATTTATACTCTAATGAAAAAAGTATACTTGTACTCCAATTTAGGATTTGAATTAAAACATGCATCACATTAATTTCTGAATTAATTAAAACAGCAAATAGTCTCTTAACATTGACAATTTGGAAACCCTTTCTCTAATAGTCTCACCTGTACGAAAGTAAAGTTTCCGATTGTCAATTTGGATATCTACATATTTAGTCGATTTTTTTTTAAAGTAATTTGGAAAATATGACTTGATTTAGATTGTTTGAAATTCAGTTGAATTTTAATCATTTCTGTTCAAAATGTATACATCAGATTATTTTGGTTAGCCACCAACTTCTGATAATTTGACACGCACATTAATTTCGGAAATAATGATTATATCATTAAACCGTCTTCATTACTGATTGAAATATAGATTTAAAATGAAAATAAGTTAATGATATACAGTCAAAAAGAGCAATTGACCAATGATGATGGCTGCCATTAATGCCAGTTTTTCTTTATAGATATTTTGAAGGGAAAAAAAAATTAAAGTAGCAAATTTTTTAAGTTTTATATTTGGTTCAATATTTTTGAACTTATTTTGTCTTTGTTTCAGATACCAGCCTCAGGATATTTACGTCAGGACAGGTAACATATGCATCGGAAAGTAAGTATATTTTTTTTTATTTATTAATAGTTGTCTAATAGATATTAAAATAATTTGAATATGTATTACAGATAGACGGGAGCCAACAGAGAAGAAGAAGACAGTACAGTCCTAGACATGGAGATGATTAAATTGTAGATGCCAAGATGATGATGTAGGTATTTTGTTGTTACAATTGTACTTAAACTGTTAATAGTTGTAAGGTAATAAAATCAGTTTTCCCTGGAGAAACAGCTTGAAAATTTATTACAAATTAGTCCAAAATTTCTTTTCAAATTTATACTCTAATGAAAAAAGTATACTTGTACTCCAATTTAGGATTTGAATTAAAACATGCATCACATTAATTTCTGAATTAATTAAAACAGCAAATAGTCTCTTAACATTGACAATTTGGAAACCCTTTCTCTAATAGTCTCACCTGTACGAAAGTAAAGTTTCCGATTGTCAATTTGGATATCTACATATTTAGTCGATTTTTTTTTAAAGTAATTTGGAAAATATGACTTGATTTAGATTGTTTGAAATTCAGTTGAATTTTAATCATTTCTGTTCAAAATGTATACATCAGATTGTTTTGGTTAGCCACCAACTTCTGATAATTTGACACGCACATTAATTTCGGAAATAATGATTATATCATTAAACCGTCTTCATTACTGATTGAAATATAGATTTAAAATGAAAATAAGTTAATGATATACAGTCAAAAAGAGCAATTGACCAATGATGATGGCTGCCATTAATGCCAGTTTTTCTTCATAGATATTTTGAAAGAAAAACAAATTAAAGTAGCAAATTTTTTAAGTTTTATATTTGGTTCAATATTTTTGAACTTATTTTGTCTTTGTTTCAGATACCAGCCCCAGGATATTTACGTCAGGACAGGTAACATATGCATCGGAAAGTAAGTATATTTTTTTTTATTTATTAATAGTTGTCTAATAGATATTAAAACAATTTGAATATGTATTACAGATAGATGGGAGCCAACAGAGAAGAAGAAGACAGTACAGTCCTAGACATGGAGATGATTAAATTGTAGATGCCAAGATGATGAAGTAGGTATTTTGTTGTTACAATTGTACTTAAACTGTTAATAGTTGTAAGGTAATAAAATCAGTTTTCCCTGGAGAAACAGCTTGAAAATTTATTACAAATTAGTCCAAAATTTCTTTTCAAATTTATACTCTAATGAAAAAAGTATACTTGTACTCCAATTTAGGATTTGAATTAAAACATGCATCACATTAATTTCTGAATTAATTATAACAGCAAATAGTCTCTTAACATTGACAATTTGGAAACCCTTTCTCTAATAGTCTCATCTGTACGAAAGTAAAGTTTCCGATTGTCAATTTGGATATCTACATATTTAGTCGATTTTTTTTAAAGTAATTTGAAAAATATGACTTGATTTAGATTGTTTGAAATTCAGTTGAATTTTAATCATTTCTGTTCAAAATGTATACATCAGAATGTTTTGGTTAGCCACCAACTTCTGATAATTTGACACGCACATTAATTTCGGAAATAATGATTATATCATTAAACCGTCTTCATTACTGATTGAAATATAGATTTAAAATGAAAATAAGTTAATGATATACAGTCAAAAAGAGCAATTGACCAATGATGATGGCTGCCATTAATGCCAGTTTTTCTTTATAGATATTTTGACAGAAAAAAAAATTAAAGTAGCAAATTTTTTAAGTTTTATATTTGGTTCAATATTTTTGAACTTATTTTGTCTTTGTTTCAGATACCAGCCCCAGGATATTTACGTCAGGACAGGTAACATATGCATCGGAAAGTAAGTATATTTTTTTTTATTTATTAATAGTTGTCTAATAGATATTAAAATAATTTGAATATGTATTACAGATAGACGGAAGCCAACAGAGAAGAAGAAGACAGTACAGTCCTAGACATGGAGATGATTAAATTGTAGATGCCAAGATGATGATGTAGGTATTTTGTTGTTACAATTGTACTTAAACTGTTAATAGTTGTAAGGTAATAAAATCAGTTTTCCCTGGAGAAACAGCTTGAAAATTTATTACAAATTAGTCCAAAATTTCTTTTCAAATTTATACTCTAATGAAAAAAGTATACTTGTACTCCAATTTAGGATTTGAATTAAAACATGCATCACATTAATTTCTGAATTAATTATAACAGCAAATAGTCTCTTAACATTGACAATTTGGAAACCCTTTCTCTATTAGTCTCACCTGTACGAAAGTAAAGTTTCTGATTGTCAATTTGGATATCTACATATTTAGTCGATTTTTTTTTAAAGTAATTTGGAAAATATGACTTGATTTAGATTGTTTGAAATTCAGTTGAATTTTAATCATTTCTGTTCAAAATGTATACATCAGATTGTTTTGGTTAGCCACCAACTTCTGATAATTTGACACGCACATTAATTTCGGAAATAATGATTATATCATTAAACCGTCTTCATTACTGATTGAAATATAGATTTAAAATGAAAATAAGTTAATGATATACAGTCAAAAAGAGCAATTGACCAATGATGATGGCTGCCATTAATGCCAGTTTTTCTTTATAGATATTTTGAAAGAAAAACAAATTAAAGTAGCAAATTTTTTAAGTTTTATATTTGGTTCAATATTTTTGAACTTATTTTGTCTTTGTTTCAGATACCAGCCCCAGGATATTTACGTCAGGACAGGTAACATATGCATCGGAGAGTAAGTATATTTTTTTTTATTTATTAATAGTTGTCTAATAGATATTAAAATAATTTGAATATGTATTACAGATAGACGGGAGCCAACAGAGAAGAAGAAGACAGTACAGTCCTAGACATGGAGATGATTAAATTGTAGATGCCAAGATGATGATGTAGGTATTTTGTTGTTACAATTGTACTTAAACTGTTAATAGTTGTAAGGTAATAAAATCAGTTTTCCCTGAAGAAACAGCTTGAAAATTTATTACAAATTAGTCCAAAATTTCTTTTCAAATTTATACTCTAATGAAAAAAGTATACTTGTACTCCAATTTAGGATTTGAATTAAAACATGCATCACATTAATTTCTGAATTAATTATAACAGCAAATAGTCTCTTAACATTGACAATTTGGAAACCCTTTCTCTAATAGTCTCACCTGTACGAAAGTAAAGTTTCTGATTGTCAATTTGGATATCTACATATTTAGTCGATTTTTTTTTAAAGTAATTTGGAAATATGACTTGATTTAGATTGTTTGAAATTCAGTTGAATTTTAATCATTTCTGTTCAAAATGTATACATCAGATTGTTTTGGTTAGCCACCAACTTCTGATAATTTGACACGCACATTAATTTCGGAAATAATGATTATATCATTAAACCGTCTTCATTACTGATTGAAATATAGATTTAAAATGAAAATAAGTTAATGATATACAGTCAAAAAGAGCAATTGACCAATGATGATGGCTGCCATTAATGCCAGTTTTTCTTTATAGATATTTTGAAAGAAAAAAAAATTAAAGTAGCAAATTTTTTAAGTTTTATATTTGGTTCAATATTTTTGAACTTATTTTGTCTTTGTTTCAGATACCAGCCCCAGGATATTTACGTCAGGACAGGTAACATATGCATCGGAAAGTAAGTATATTTTTTTTTATTTATTAATAGTTGTCTAATAGATATTAAAATAATTTGAATATGTATTACAGATAGACGGGAGCCAACAGAGAAGAAGAAGACAGTACAGTCCTAGACATGGAGATGATTAAATTGTAGATGCCAAGATGATGATGTAGGTATTTTGTTGTTACAATTGTACTTAAACTGTTAATAGTTGTAAGGTAATAAAATCAGTTTTCCCTGGAGAAACAGCTTGAAAATTTATTACAAATTAGTCCAAAATTTCTTTTCAAATTTATACTCTAATGAAAAAAGTATACTTTTACTCCAATTTAGGATTTGAATTAAAACATGCATCACATTAATTTCTGAATTAATTATAACAGCAAATAGTCTCTTAACATTGACAATTTGGAAACCCTTTCTCTAATAGTCTCACCTGTACGAAAGTAAAGTTTCCGATTGTCAATTTGGATATCTACGTATTTAGTCGATTTTTTTTAAAGTAATTTGGAAAATATGACTTGATTTAGATTGTTTGAAATTCAGTTGAATTTTAATCATTTCTGTTCAAAATGTATACATCAGATTGTTTTGGTTAGCCACCAACTTCTGATAATTTGACACACACATTAATTTCTGAAATAATGATTATATCATTAAACCGTCTTCATTACTGATTGAAATATAGATTTAAAATGAAAATAGTTAATGAAATATAGTCAAAAAGTACAATTGATCAATGATGATAGCTGCTAAAAATAAAAGTAAAAACTAAAAAAGCAAATTTTTCACAAGTTTTATATTTGGTTTAATATTTTTGAACTTATTTTGTTTTTGTAACAGATTCCAGGAGCAGGTAATTTACATCGTGCTAGGCTGTCCCGTGGACGTGTTTATATTACAGACGGATGAAGCCCAGAGGAGCATTACAGACGGATGGAGCCCAGAGGAACATACAGTCCTAGACCTGAAATTGCCAGATAATGATGATGTAGGTATTTAGTTTTTACAATTGTAAAATCGATGCTGAATTCTCATCTAGGGGAATAAAACGTTTATATTTATGAACTTGTGCTTTTTTTTATACAGAATGAACATAATATCATTTTTTATTTTTCTAAGAATAAAATACAAGAAATATTTTTTTCTACATATTTCAATTTTGTTTTGATGCAGGCATCATCCACAATGTCTTTGGCCACACTCATTGCTGTATATAAAATCAGAGTAGGGAAATTATCAATTTTTATTTAACTTGGAAATCACAGTCCTTCATTGCAACCGATGTAATATATGGACTTTTTTTCACAGTTTTCAACTAAGATAATTTTAAGGTTAAAATATTACAGTTATCAATTACTTTGTCAAATCTTCATAGAATTTTATGAAAATATGACAACAAACATTTATTTTCCACATTCAAAGTACCAAGAAAGTTATTTTATCAGTTTGATATTTGGTTTCCAGTAACATGAATAAAATAATATATCATTTGAAAAGTAAATTCTGAGACAGATTTCACCTTCAGGGGGAGGCTAGTACAACAAACAGCAAGAATGTGTCATTCAATGGGAGATAACTCATAGATTATTGAGAAAAAAATTTATGTTGAAACAAAATCAAAACATGTTTTGTTTTTCCAGCTTTTTTAGATATTAAACTGGTATTGATGCTATGCTAAATCTTAAGTCAGAAAACTATTTTTTTTTAGCTGACAATTTAACACTTTCGTAAAATATATAATTTGTGTCAATTTTAATTCCTTTTTAGGTTATTACAGCGACTGTTTTCATGGATGGGGAGTAAAAATGGGTGGTCTAATACTTTTCATAAATTAGTAGGTATATAATTCCTCTGTTGAAAACAAATATTATTTTCATCTTAAAATAAAAATTGACAGGAATATAATGTGCATTAGGCTTGAAAGTTTTAAGAGATTGGTCAGATTTTTTTTTGTCTACTTTGCACCACAGGGGATATATGGTTATGGTCTTTGTCCAAGTGTCATAAACACACTAATACTAACGGATTGTTGGTCTTTTTTTTTTTTAACTTTTTGTCAGATATTCAGAATCCTCTGGTTTTATCCATGAAGTGCCATTACAATTTTGCCCACTAACCCCTACTTATCTTTTCATAATTTTATAACATATAGTTTAAAAAGCCATGTTTGAAAATCTTATAAAATCCTTGTTATTTTTTGATAGTTCTAATTTGCTATAGAATAAATAAATGGAGAATGTGTCCATGAGACAATAATTCCTTATCCAGATAATCAACATGAAACATAAAAATATATAAAACAAAAACTCGATTTGATCTACAAATCATTGAGTCTTATCATTAGTCTTCTTTAATGTTATAAATAAATAAATCGTTTTTTCCAGACAAAATAACAACACGACTGGTGGATTCAATTCTAGGAACCAGTGAAGAAATTAAAAGTGAAGACTTGCGACGGAAAATCCAGGAAACAGGTCTTTTGCTGAACAGTATGAGAGAGCCAAGATGATTGTTGGATTTAAACTGCTTGGAAAATACCACCAAATGAACACAAAAAATGCACTGCATCAACAAACAAATCAACTACTGGAATGTCAGGGCATCAGTACCTAGTTCTGATTCTAAAAACATTTGTTCAAAATAAATGGAGAATGTGACACAGATGATGACCCTGCTTGCATATAACATTATAAAGTGACAAACAGTAAAATTGATGCCATTTAAATTCAAAGCTGAACAGTGTTTTGTGGTAACTAGCCTTGTGTATCAGTTTTAAAACATTTGGTTGAGGCAAAGTTAAAAATGGTAACCACTTTTGGGATGTACAAAAAGGTGGACAACACTTAATGCCCCATCAGCTTCGGTGCTGGCATAAAAAATGAACTATATGTTAACAACAATCAGAAACAAAAATTCTTTTTAAATCACATACTATTGCCTTCATTTTGATTCTAATTTTCAAAACTTACCTCGATTAAAATATGACCAATTGCCATGTCGATTGCTGTTAGAATAACAAGGCAAAATAAAAAAAATATATATGTGTGGTTCCAGTTACCAGACCCACCCTAGAACTTTTTTTAATTCTGTAAAATAAATTTTGAACAATCCCATTTTATGGAATGTGAATTTCAATAATTAAATTCACAGACTTCTGTCATATGAATTTCCAATAAAATTATCCACTAAGGCTTAAAATGCAACAAATTCTTAACAGAATGCAACAAAATTAACTAAAAAACATAACATGTCTGTGTATTTTAAAACCGAAAAATATAGAAAATGGAAAACTTGCTGTAGGGGCGTGTACAATACCAGAATCGGACTCTGTGAACACATTTTTTTTTCCTGGATTTTGATAATCCCAAAAACCAATGCCAACCTACGGACCGTATCTTTTTTTGAAAATGTAACTGGAACCACGCATATATTTTTATTTTGCCTAAGTTTTTTTTTTATTATGCAGATGAAGATTTGGATCATTTTGGCTTGAAAGATTGTCAGGAACATGAAGAAACTGAATCCATTATGAACATATGTACACAAACAGGTAGATATATATCTGTATATAGTATTTAAAACAAACATGCTTCAACAGTGTGAAAAATTACTGTTCCATTAATGTATTATGTATTTTAAGGAAAGATGGGGTACTTTTAACCACAATCTGAAAGCACTAAATTTTACTAATTCTAAATGTTAACTAGTATGTATGATTTTTGCAAGAAAGTGCATGCAAGCCCAATTGCATCCTAGTTGAGTGCCTATGTGTGCCCTGTATTAAAGTACATGTTCACAAATATATGCACAGCTGAATGTAAATTAGGTTTAAATGAAGCATTGCTCCAAAAAATTTGTTTGTTAAATTGGTCTGGAGTTTCCAGGCTACTTTCTGAGAATGCACTAGCTAAACTAGCCTTTTGGTCATAAAATACCCTAATATAATTGATTCCCTATGCAGATAATCAACATTAAACAATAAAATATAAAAAAAAACTCTCTGTTTGATCTACAAATCATTGAGTCTGATCATTAGTCTTCTTTAATGTTATAAATCAATAAATCGTTTTTTCCAGACAAAATAACAACAACACTGGTTGATACAATTCTAGGAACTGGTGAAGAAGTTAAGTTTTACAAAATACAGAAGACTTGCAATGGAAAATCCAGGAAACAGGTCATTTACTGAACAGTATGAGAGAGCCAAGATGATTGTTGGATTTAAACTGCTTGAAAAATACAACCAAATGAAGACAAAAAATGCATCAACAAACAAATCAACTAATGGAACGTTTGGGCATCAGTACCTAGTTCTGACTCGTAAAGCAATTGTTCAAAACAAATGGAGAATGTGACACAGATGATGACCCTGCTTGCATATATTAACATTATAAAGGGACAAACAGTTAATTGATGCAGTTTAAATTCAAAGCTGAACAGTGTTTTGTGGTAATTAGCATTTTATATAAGTTTCAAAACATTTTGTCGAGGCAACTTAAAGTTAAAAATGATAACCACTTTTGGGACGTACATACATACAGATGGACAACACTTCATGCCCCCTCAGCTTCGGTGGTGGCATAAAAAATGAACTATATGATTGCCTGCATTTTGACACTAATTTTCAAAACCTACCTCGATTAAAATATGACCAATTGCCATGATTACTGTTAGAGTTAAGGCAAAATAAAAATATATGTGTGGTTCCAGTTACCAGACCTACCCTAGAACTTTTTTTTGAATTCTGTAAAATAGATTTTGAACGATCCCATTTTATTGAATGTGAATTTCAACAATTGAATTCACAAGCTTCTGTCATATGAATTTCCCATAAAAGTATCTTCTTATGCTAAAAATGCAACAAATTCATAACAGAATGCAACAAAATTAACTAAAAATGTAACATGTCTGTTTATTTTACAACTAAACATATAAAAAATAGCAAACTTGTGGTAGGGGCGTGTATAATACCAGAATCAGACTCAGTGAAAGAACGATATTTTTTCCGGATTTTGACAATCCAAAAAAAAAATGCAGATATACTGACCCTGTCTTTTTTCGAGAATATGTAACTGGAATCACACATACATTTTTATTTGGCTGATGTTTTTTTTTAATATGCAGATGAAAATATGAATCCTTTTGGCTTGAAAGGTTGTCAGGAACATGAAGAAACTGAATCCATTATAAACATATGTACATAAACAGGTAGATATATATTTGTATATAGTATTCAAACAAAACATGCTTCAACAGTGTGCAAAATTACTGTTCCAATAATGTGTTATGTATTTAAAGGAAAGATGGGGGTACTTTTAACCACAGTCTGAAAGCACTAATTTCTACTAATTCTAAATGTTTATGTATGATTTTTCAAGAGATTGCAAGAAAGTACATGCAAACAGTAAAATTGATGCCGTTTAAATTCAAAGCTGAACAGTGTTTTGTGGTAATTAGCATTGTGTATAAGTTTTAAAACATTTGGTTGAGGCAAAGTTAAAAATGGTTACCACTTTTGGGATGTACATACAGATGGACAACACTTAATGCCCCCTCAGCTTCGGTGCTGGCATAAAAAATGAACTATATGTTAACAACAATCAGAAACAAAAATTCTTTTTAAATCACATACTATTGCCTTCATTTTGATTCTAATTTTCAAAACCTACCTCGATTAAAATATGACCAATTGCCATGTCGATTGCTGTTAGAATAACAAGGCAAAATAAAAAAATATATATGTGTGGTTCCAGTTACCAGACCCACCCTAGAACTTTTTTTTTTAATTCTGTAAAATAAATTTTGAACGATCCCACTTTATGGAATGTGAATTTCAATAATTAAATTCACAGACTTCTGTCATATGAATTTCCAATAAAATTATCCACTAAGGCTTAAAATGCAACAAATTCTAAACAGAATGCAACAAAATTAACTAAAAAATGTAACATGTCTGTTTATTTTAAAACCGAAAAATATAGAAAATGGAAAACTTGCTGTAGGGGCGTGTACAATACCAGAATTGGACTCTGTGAACACATGATTTTTTTTCTGGATTTTGATAATCCCAAAAAAACAATGCCAACCTATGGACCGTATCTTTTTTTGAGAATGTAACTGGAACCACGCATATATTTTTATTTGGCCTAAGTTTTTTTTTATTATGCAGATGAAGATTTGGATCCTTTTGGCTTGAAAGATCATTGTCAGGAACATGAAGAAACTGAATCCATTATGAACATATGTACACAAATAGGTAGATATATATCTGTATATAGTATTTAAACAAAACATGCTTCAACAGTGTGCAAAATTACTGTTCCATTAATGTATTATGTATTTCAAGGAAAGATGGGGGTACTTTTAACCACAATCTGAAAGCACTAAATTTTACTAATTCTAAATGTTTAGTATGTATGATTTATGCAAGAAAGTGCATGCAAGCCCAATTACATCCTAGTTGAGTGCCTATGCGTGCCCTGTATTAAAGTACATGTACACAAATATATGCACAGCTGAATGTAAATTGGGTTTAAATGAAGCATTGCTCCAAAAAATTTGTTTGTTAAATTGGTCTGGAGTTTCCAGGCTACTTTCTGAGAATGCACTAGCTAAACTAGCCTTTTGGTCATAATATCCCAATATAATTGATTCCCTATGCAGATAATCAACATTAAACAATAAAATATAAAAAAAAAACTCTCTGTTTGATCTACAAATCATTGAGTCTGATCATTAGTCTTCTTTAATGTTATAAATCAATAAATCGTTTTTTCCAGACAAAATAGCAACAACACTGGTTGATACAATTCTAGGTACTGGTGAAGAAGTTAAGTTTTACAAAATACAGAAGACTTGCAACAGAAAATTCCTGAAAGGAGGTCTTTTACTGAACAGTATGAGAGAGTCAAGATGATTGTTGGATTTAAACTGCTTGAAAAGTACAACCAAATGAAGACAAAAAATGCATCAACAAACAAATCAACTAATGGAACGTTGGGGCATCAGTTACTAGTTCAGATTCTAAATGCAATTGTTCAAAATAAATGGAGAATGTGACACAGATGATGACCCTGCTTGCATATATTAACATTATAAAGGGACAAACAGTAAATTGATGCAGTTTAAATTCAAAGCTGAACAGTGTTTTGTGGTAATTAGCATTTTATATAAGTTTCAAAACATTTTGTCGAGGCAACTTAAAGTTAAAAATGATAACCACTTTTGGGACGTACATACAGATGGACAACACTTCATACCCCCTCAGCTTCGGTGGTGGCATAAAAAATGAACTATATGATTGCCTGCATTTTGATACTAATTTTCAAAACCTACCTCGATTAAAATATGACCAATTGCCATAATTACTGTTAGAGTGGCAAAATAAAAATATATGTGTGGTTCCAGTTACCAGACCTACCCTAGAACTTTTTTTTTAATTCTGTAAAATAGATTTTGAACGATCCCATTTTATTGAATGTGAATTTCAACAATTGAATTCACAAGCTTCTGTCATATGAATTTCCCATAAAAGTATCTACTAATGCTAAAAATGCAACAAATTCATAACAGAATGCAACTAAATTAACTAAAAATGTAACATGTCTGTTTATTTTACAACTAAACATATAGAAAATAGCAAACTTGTGGTAGGGGCGTGTATAATACCAGAATCAGACTCAGTGAAAGAACGATATTTTTTCCGGATTTTGACAATCCAAAAAAAATAAAATGCAGATATACTGACAATGTCTTTTTTCGAGAATATGTAACTGGAATTAACATACATTTTTATTTGGCTGATGTTTTTTTTTAATATGCAGACGAAAATATGAATCCTTTTGGCTTGAAAGGTTGACAGGAACATGAAGAAACTGAATCCATTATAAACATATGTACATAAACAGGTAGATATATATTTGTATATAGTATTCAAACAAAACATGCTTCAACAGTGTGCAAAATTACTGTTCCAATAATGTGTTATGTATTTAAAGGAAAGATTTGGGCACTTTTAACCACAGTCTGAAAGCACTAATTTCTACTAATTCTAAATGTTTATGTATGATTTTTCAAGAGATTGCAAGAAAGTACATGCAAGTCCAATTACATCCTAGTCTAGTGCCTATGTGTGCCCTGTATTAAAGTACATGCAGTCACAAATATATGCACAGCTGAATGTGAATTGGGTTTAAATGAAGCATTCTCCAAAACATTTTTTTGTTAAATTGGTCTGGAGTCTCCAGGCTTCTATCTGAGAATGCACTAGCTAAACTAGCTTTTTTTGTCATAATATCCCAATATAAATGATTCCCTATGCAGATAATCAACATTAAACAATAAAATATGAAAATAAACCTCTGTTTGATCTACAAACCATTAGTCTTATCAGAGTCTTCTTTAATGTTATAAATCAATAAATCGTTTTTTCCAGACAAAATAACAACAACACTGGTTGATACAATTCTAGGAACAGGTGGAGAAGTTAAATGTTTTACAAAATACAGAAGACTTGCAATGGAAAATCCAGGAAACAGGTCTTTTACTGAACAGTATGAGAGAGCCAAGATGATTGTTGGATTTAAAATGCTTGGAAAATACAACCAAATGAAAACAAAAATGTACTGCATCAACAAACAAATCAACTATTGGAACATTGGGGCATCAGTACATAGTTCTGATTCTAAAAACAATTGTTCAAAATAAATGGAGAATGTGTCCATGGGACACAGATGATGCCTTTGCTTGCATATAACATTATAAAGGGACAAACAGTAAAATTGACGCCATTTCAATTCAAAGCTGAACAGTGTTTTGTGGTAATTAGCATTGTGTATAAGTTTCAAAACATTTGGTTGAGGCAAAGTTAAAAATGGTAACCACTTTTGGGATGTACATACAGACGGACAACACTTAATGCCCCCTCAGCTTCGGTGCTGGCATAAAAAATTAACTATATGTTAACAACAATCAGAAACAAAAATTATGAAAAGTAGAAGTCTTGGATGAAATTAATATTAAATTCACACGAGTTTTAAAAAAATGACAGATTTATCTTATTTTGATGAAAACCTCATATCCCCTTGTTAGTCTATTGACATGCAATCAGAACTCTTTTGTAAGGGAAAATTTAAAAGTTCCAACATTTGAGACCAAAGTGGTGGTATTGGGATTGGCATGCTAATAATAATTAGGGATGTGTTATTGGTGCAACCACTTACAGTTTAAAATACATTGCAGGTTTCAGGGGCAAAAGGAAAAAGTATTTTGCTAAGTCAGAATAATGCATGTGTATTTTAAGGGAATTTTTTAATAAATTGAGATCTACATGCAATATAACTATCTTACTGAGGATGTTGTTGAACTATTCACCTTACACATTATGTTGATCCTATTATGGATAAATAGTTCCAACTGGATGTCAAGCAGCCAATTAAACAATCATTACCATATAATAAAAACAACTATATCAAATTAAAAGATAATTAATATTTTTCTAGGGCATTCAGTTTTGTAATACATACACATATTTTAATTGTATTCAACACATTTCATTTAAATTCACCTCACTAACATAATTCCTCTTGCTAAACTGCATCTGCTATGCTTCCTAAATATATACACATGTATGAATTTAATTTTTACTGAAAATTCACGCAGAGCGGCAGTCAAAGCTTATTTGACGAAAATAATCAAAATTACACTAAACCAAAGCGAACCAGAGAGTTGTGTATGGTACAGACTGTACTACAGGCACAAATACATCAAATTATATGAATAAGAGCATGTTTATCTTCCTTTTTCTTTGAAGTAACCAGTTTTACATGTACATAAAATTCTAAATCACACAATTTAAAAAAAATATTATACCGCTCCCTCCACTTGTAGAGCACCCGCCTCAACAAAACTCATTTTCAAGAAATAAATACAATCAAAAAAATTTCGCTCGCTCTCCCCATATTTTTTGGAGCTTTTGTCCGAAGAACTAAAAATCAAATTGGTGTGGCCTAAAGATTTGGATCTTTTTGGCTTGAAAGATTGTCAGGAACATGAAGAAACTGAATCCATTATAAACATATGTACACAAACAGGTAGATATATATCTGTATGCATACCTGCCAACTGTCACTATTTGTGGGGGATTTCCCGCATGACAGTTCCCAAATGGAAATTTTGAAAGAGCAATTTTGTCGACAATTTAAAACAAAACAATCAATTTTACCATGGTTATAGGATAGTAAAAGTATGAAGAAGCAAAAAAAACAACATTAAAATACATTTGAAGGACCCATTGAAGGTTTTGTTGGACTATTAAGACCCATCTCACACAGAAAACCCCCATGGGCATTTTGAAATGTTGGCAGGTATGCTGTATGTAGTATTTAAACAAAACATGCTTCAACAGTGTGCAAAATTACTGTTCCATTAATGTATTATGTATTTTAAGGAAAGATGGGGGTACTTTTAACCACAATCTGAAAGCACTAAATTCTACTAATTCTAAATGTTTACTGTGGATTCATTTATTTTCGTGGGTACCAATTTTCATGGATTAAGGAAAACTTGCATGTTCGTGGATATTTAATTTTGTTGTTTTTTGTCGAGCCTGCGACTTTTGTCGCAAAGCGAGACATAGCGATCCTACATTCCGTCAGCAGCGGCGTCCACAAATATTCACTCTTTGGTTAAGGTGTTTCAAATTTTAATAACTTTCTTAAACTATCCTACTTTTCAACCAAACTAGGACAGAAGCTTGTTTATGATCATAAGATAGTATCCAGAAGTAAATTTTGTAAAAAAAAAAATCCTGTTTATCCGTATTTTACTTATAAATGGACTTAGTTTTTCTGCCAGTTAACATTACATTCACTCTGGTTAAAGCTTTTCAAATTTTAATAACTTTCTTAAACTATCCTAGATTTGTACCAAACTTGGACAGAAGCTTGTTTATGATCAAAAGCTAGTATCTAGAAGGAAATTTTGTAAAAATTTTATTTCCTGTTTTTCCGTATATTACTTATAAATGGACTTAGTTTTATTCCAGTTAACCTTACGTACAGTCTGCAGTTAAAGTTTTTAAAACCTTTATTAGATTCATAAATCTTCTTGGATTTTTACCAAACTTGAACAGAACTTCTTACAATCAAAAGATAGTATCTAGAGGAAAATTTTTAATAATTTTTTCCCCTTTTTTGTTGAGCCTGCGACTAACAGCAAAAGTAGGCGAGACACTGGGTTCCGCGGAGCCCTTACAAATTTGCCATTCTTCGAACATTTCATTTCGTTGTAAACCTATAACCGCGAAAGGTTAACCACGAAATCCACAAAAATTGCTATCCAACTATTAATAATGAATCCACAGTATGTATGATTTTTCAAGAGATTGCAAGAAAGTGCATGCAAGCCCAATTACATTCAAGTTGTGTGCCCATGTGTGCCCTGTATTAAAGTACATGTACACAAATATATGCACAGCTGAATGTGAATTGGGTTTAAATGAAGCATTGCTCCAAAAACTTTTTTGTTAAATTGGTCTGGAGTTTCCAGGCTACTATCTGAGAATGCACTAGCTAAACTAGCCTTTTGGTCATAATATCCCAATATAATTTAAATGATACCCTATGTAGCTAATCAACTTTAAACGTTAAAATAAAATATATAAAAAAAAACCTCTGTTTGATCTACAAATCATTGATGAGTCTTATCATTAGTCTTCTTTAATGTTATAAATCAATAAATCTTTTTTTCCAGACAAAATAACATCAACACTGGTTGATACAATTCTAGGAACCGGCGAAGAAGTTAAAAGTTTTACAAAATACAGAAGACTTGCAACGGAAAATCCAGGAAACAGGTCTTTTACTGAACAGTATGAGAGAGCCAAGATGATTGTTGGATTTAAACTGCTTGGAAAATACAACCAAATGAAGACAAAAAATGCATCAACAAACAAAACAACTAATGGAACTTGGGGCATCAGTACCTAGTTCTGATTCTAAAAACATTGTTCAAAATCTTCTACAAGGTTTAGAAGACTGTACATACATGTATATATTTATATTTATATTTATATAAGAAAGGGAAAAAAAATTAAAAAAATAATGCATGTGCTTGAAACTTGTGTACATACATGTAATGAATAGAAAAAAGGAAAGAAAAAGAAAATGAAAACAAAATGAAATAAAAAAAAAAGAAAAGAAAGAAAAAAATAGAAAAGAAAGAAAAAGACAGAAAAAAAGAAAAGAAAATAGATTTAAACAAAATGAAAAAAAAAAAGAGAAAAAAAAGAAAGGAAAAGAAAAAAAAAAGAAAGAAAAAAATATTTGAGGAGGGAGGTGGGTAATGCAGCCAAGTAATACTGTATTCGCCAATTTTCATGCACCATAACACCCACAATCGTGATAGTAATCTTAGATTTGCCTAAAAAATTTGTGATTCAATAATATAACCTCATCATTCAGAAAATCTATTTTAAAAATTATCTTTACAATCATCATCTAGAGCAGACCAATATTTACATCTTTTATCATTTTCATTGATATAAGATACCCCATTTTTAATTTCTAAATAAAACCAAGGTGCTTATTATTATGAATACAGTACAACTTGCCAGTCACAAGCCTGGAATAAAGAGCCACATTAAAATATCAAGAATTAAGTTAGTTTAAACAGGACTGTTCACAACTTGTTTTGCCATTATATGCTTGTCACTCATAGTTTTTTCATTTCCTTTCAATTAGGTCAAAAAAAGAGGGATACAAATTTTAAACTTTTAACATATATTTAAATCATGGATTTATTGTGGCTTTTAATGCAGAGTGAACCACCATATAGTTTTAATTTAAGATTTATTGTGGCTTTTAATGCAGAGTGAACCATCATATAGATTTTATGATATTGTAGAACCAACTTGTAAAATTCAGAATTACACCGATTAATACATACGTAAAATTATGTATTGTACTAGGAATACACAAATCATATGATAACTCAATATAATTTATATGTAGTTTTTATTCTAGTCAAGACCATGCTCATTACAATAAAAATTGTTTACAAAAATCTTTAGTTCAGAGATAGTTTCTTTTCAGAGTCACAGTGTCTAATATTTTTTGTTCAACATACATGATCACATACAAAAGTCATGGAAATAACGTCAGAAATCTAAGAAATGTTTGAATAAATCAATGTTGTCGGCATGAAAATATAAATATCAACATATTACGTTTGGTTTTCATCAGAGAGTCCTTGAAGATAATCTGCTGATCCTCACTATAGATTACATGTACATGTATGTTCTATTCAACTGGACTATATTTCCTTAATACGCCTTTGTAAAATAAACTAAAGGGGTGCATTGAAAAATGTCACGCATTTGATAAAAGAAAAAAGGTGCCAATGTTAAATGTATGAAAAATCTACAGAATCATTTCTTGCCAAATTTAAATGGCTTACATCTTGAAAATCAGGACATTTTTTTCGCCATCGAGCATGTTCGCCATTGAATGACCTCCCGATTGAATTCTTCTAAATTACATGCCAGGTCAGTCTCGTATGTCTGATTGTCTCATACAATGTTGCGATTTGTTTGTTGGTTATATTTCCTACAACACGAGAAAGCAGATATTGCACAAAGAAGCGATTTTCTGAAGAGATCATTTTTTTCTGCTTGAATTACAAACTATCTGATAAGGACCAAATTAACGGCAAATCTATCCTTGTTTTAATAAATGCCTCCCCCTTCAGAGATGCAAATTATGACACCCTGAGCGACACATTACATTTCAATGGAAAATTTACTTTAAAACCAATAAATTTTGACTAAGAAGCTGGCATTTGGTTAAATTCTATGATAGGAATTAGTTTCTTTATAAATCATATGGGAAAAAATTGCCAAAAGTAGTTTTATATCCTGAATCATGCATATGAAGTCTCAAAATCTGCAACGCAGAAAACTAGCCGTACCGGCATTGTCATCATAATACTCAAAATAGTATCTTTATACAGAAGAATACAGCACTGGGCTTACTGCATTGAGTGTAGCACAGCGAAGGTTGGCATCTGATCGCGAGGTGTTATACACCAGTGGCAGCATGTTCGCCATCGAGCAACCTCCCAAATGAATTCTTCTAAATTACATGCCAGGTCAGTCTCGTATGTCTCAAACAATATTGTGATTTGTTCATTGGTTATATTTCCTACAACACAAGAAAGCAGATACTGCGCAAAGAAGCGATTTTCTGAAGATATCAAACGCGACTCCAGTTTCATTATCATGTGGTCTATGAACGCAAAATATAATGAAACTTTCCAATACTGTTTTGGCGTGTTTGCAGGGTGATTGGCTCTGGTAGTCTGTCGACCACATGGCCTCTTCATATTTATTCATATTTTGTTTTGCCCTTTTTTCAGCATGCCGATGTGCACGCAACTGCATGTTGGCATATAGGGAGCTAGGTGTCTGGGAATTATTGGAATCTGGAATAGTTCTGAATTCTGCAAAATTGATAAGGAATGTATGATAAAAACTAACCCTATTAAGGACGGTTGGCCATGCATACAAGGCTGAGTGGGCTTAGTTAGTTCATATTGAAATATCAGTGCTAGTAAAAGGAACCTTATGTATAACTTACAACAAAATCATTTTTATTTACCTGTGTACGTTATTTTATTTGGTGGCATTTTGTCCAAGGTTACCGTTGTCTTTCTGATATTGTTTTACATCTAACCCCCTTGATATGTCTTTTGATTGAGTTAAGCCATTGCAATTGACATTTTATAGTGTGTTTCTATGTTGTGATGTTACACTATTGTTTCAGGTATGGTGAAGGTTGGCGCCTAATAAAACGTTTAAACCCGCTGCATTTGTTTACACCTGTCCTAAGTCAGGAACCTGATGTTCAGTGGTTGTCGTTGTTGATGTGGTTCATAAGTGTTTCTAGTTTCTCAGTTTTTATATGATTAGAACATTGGTTTTCCTGTTTGAATGGTTTTAAACTAGTCATTTTTGGGGCCCTTTATAGTTGTTCAGTGTGAGCCAAGGCTACATGTTGATAGCCATACTTTGACCTATAATGGTTTACTTTTACAATTGTGACTTGGATGGAGAGTTGTCTCATTAGCACTCATACCACATCTTATATCTACTTATGGTTAGTTTTCATCATACATTTCTTATCAATTTTCCAGAATTCAAATTTATTTCAGATTCAAATAATTCCTTGTTTGCAGTTTAAAATGTATGACAATGAATCACATTAATCAGAGACATATATACTGTCTCTGCTTTAATAAGAATAATAAAAGAGTTAATCTTAAATTGTAAATATTTGTGAATATTTATATAATACAATCTGGCATCCATGAGCATAACAGGCTGTCAGCAAAGTAAGATCATGTTTGTGTTGTGTTATATTTGTAGTTAATGCACAAAATCATCTTTTGTCTTTCTCATTCCCTAGTAAGGTCCTACACTAGAGTTTAGCTGGCATTGACAAAAGGACTCAGGTTCCTAAAAGTGGGTTTTTACCTGGTCAGCCACAAATCATTGGAATGTAGTTACTTAGTTTTTCAAAATGAAATACATAAGGTTAAGATGAGATTATTTTTATAGTATGAGTTATTGAATTGATATTGTATAGTGTATTATATATACTGTATAGTGTATATAAATAATATAAAGGTGTAATACCACCATTGATTTTCCCATATTAGTCTTTGTTAAATTTGCACTTTTCAAAAAATTGTGCAGAATTTATCTGTTTCAAATAAAGAAATACTTGGGCATGAGTAAAGTTTTATCCTTTCCAATACTATAAAAAATATTTCACATAACATTTCATGGCATACAAAAAAATAACCAACACTGGAAGTTAATTAATTAAATTTTCACTTTTTTAACCTGTGTACAAGCTTTAGTAACCATGTAACCTCAAGTTTCCAAAATATTCTATAGAAACCCCAAATAAAAAAATAATGGTGCTTTGAAATACCCAAGATATATGTTTATGACCCAGAAATGTTTTACTGCAATGAAATGTAGGATCAATTACCTACAACTGTCAAATTCAAGGGAATATTTTTTTTCGACCTATTTTCATATGCAACCGGATGTGACGTACTATGATTTGGTGGTACTACACCTAAAGAAGACTTTATTGTTAATAAACTGAATGTGACTTTTTTCTTTTGTAATACTGGTTATTTCAAGCATTCCTGTCAAGTTCTGTCATAATCAGTTCAATAGTTTGAGAAAAATCTAGTATAATGTATGACAACATCTACAGCTTTCTTTGAAAAATCCAAACCAAGCCGCAGCATGATAGAATATAGTGTGGACCAATAACTGATCAAATATTTATCTCATCTGCCTACAAACAGTTGAACATGATAAAAAAGATGACTTTAGGATGATAAATATTACTAATGGACCTCTTTGTCTTCCTTATAAGGTCTCTTTTGGTCGATTCATACCTCTCATTTCCTCAAAATTTCTACTTTTTAGGCCAATAAATAAAAATTTTGGTAACTTTCACTCATTTATGATAGAAATGTTATAATAAATGATTAATTGAAGTATTCAAGCTGAATGAACTATCCGTATAAAAGTTTACTGTCTCCAAGGAGGTTTCAATAAGTCCTTACATAAAACTTAAATTTACACCGCGTTCCAGAGAGGGACATAAAAAGCTCCTCTTTTGGTGAATAATTTGTTGTTACTGCTTTAAAAATAATTTCATTTACTTAAAACTATATATTTATAAAAGTATTTCTTAGGAAAAATTTTCTAGTATAGCAGAATACAAGAAATAAGGAGAAAAAGCTCCCCAAAACTCTAAGTATGGCTTGTTCTGTCAACTAATATTCATGGTAAAGTCCTATTTCAAGGAAATTTTCTTATAAAATGTGTTTTGGAGAATCAATCCACTCAAGTTTCCAAAATATTCTATAGAAACCCCAAATAAAAAAATAATAGTGCTTTGAAATACCCAAGATATATGTTTATGACCCAGAAATGTTTAAGGGAATATTTTTTTCAACCTATTTTTGTATGCAACCGGATGTGAC